AACTCAAATGAATTCATTGCATCTGTTATTACAAAAAGCGTAGTGCTGAGCAGTACGACGTAGTGCTAAGCAGTACCACGTAGTGCTGAGCAGTGTGACGTAGTGCTAAGCAGTATGACGTAGTGCTGAACAGTACGACGTAGTGCTGAACAGTACGACGTAGTGCTGAACAGCCGTAGTGTTCAGTACGACGAAGTGCTGAACAGTCGTAGTGTTCAGCACTACGTCATACTGCTTAGCACTACGTCGTACTGTTCAGCACTACGTCGTACTGCTTAGCACTACGTCACTGCTCAGCACTACGCTTTTTGTAATAACAGATGGAATGAATTCATTTGAGTTCAGTCCGAATTTCCGGTGAATTCAGGAATTCCTTTGAGTTCAGTCCGAATTTCCGGTGGATTTTCGGCCCGGGCCGAAAGTCATATCGGACCTTCGGTCCAGGCCGAAAGTCATATCGGAATTTCGGCCCGGGCCGAAAAATCACCGGAAATTCGTCCCGGGCCGAAAGTCCGGGACGAAAATTCCTTGGGCCGAAATTCATGTAACTCGTCTATGGTGGTACGGCAGCATTTTGTTTTTTCGAGTACATTGAAAAATTGTCTGAATTTGATAGAATTTCATTGTTTACAAATGAAACACCCTGAGACTGAATGAATCTGATGGACTAGTATTAATATTTCTGGTCCAATACAATCGTGGCAGTAGCAGATGATTTTCAGCGGCGATGGACATCTTTGGTTTCAAAAACATGCGAATGAATCCTATCTTTGTTATCTCATTAAATAAAACAAGCTTTATTTTGTCTGTTGCTTTTCTTCTTCGCTTTCTAGTTTCGATATTTCTATTAAATCAGAATCAAAAACGATCATGTTGAGTATATATATACATTCAATTTTTCCTTCATAAAAAAAAGGAAAGTATTATAGAACATGAAAATATATTATTTTATCTTTTTTTAGTATATTTGGTAACATATGATGTTGTACAACAAAAAGAATTAATTCAAACAAAATTTCATCGTAATGATGAAGCAATTCTTGCATTAGCAAAAGATCTTGTTGAACAATTTAATTCATCAACATCAAATAATATTGAACATTCAACATCTTATAAAAAGAATCCATCTGGAACTAGTAGTGAATCACATTTAATGCATGTAAAACTTTGAGAATGTTTTCTTTTTTCTTTCTTCTTTATAAACACATATATTCAAGAACAGTGCCAGCGTGAATTCGT